GGATAAAGGGAATTTTGAGGTTGGACGGAAGTTTCTATCTTATCTGGTCGTGGAGGGTTGAAATGTAAGGCTTAGGAACGTCAGAGTGACTGCTTATTTAAACAAGAAGTTCATTTAATTTCTAGTTCGAGCCGCCCAAAGCAATAGCACCAAAGTATTGGTTGAGAAAATCAGCCCAGCCCGTATGACTAGAGAGTCTAGTTAACTAGTCATTATGTCAATTTGGCCGCAAGCTCTGGGAATCAGACTTTTGGAAATAGATGTATACTGGCAAATAGCATAGCAACAGCAAATGAATTGGGTTCCAGACACAGGTACACTCTCGTCCACCCACATACACACAAGCAGAAAAGTACTTGGTCGAATATATAAAGACCAAATTGGAGTTGTATTTTTTTGGTGGTAATCTGCCTTTACAATATGTGATTGGTTTGACCCTTTTTTCAACTTGGCCGTCTAGTTAGGGCAGTCTCAAAGAACATGACTTGTCCTCTGGCATATTAGCCATGAGGACAGTATCATAATTAAATTAAATTCTTATTCAACAATATCCGATAGCCTCGAAAAATACTGATTTTAGAAGATGTTGAAATTACCCCCAGTACCAGAAAAATTTTGGACCCACAAGAAGTGTCATGGGCAATCAGAAGTGCATACACATCAATGTTGCTGTACTCTTTATTTCATTCAAAAAGATAAAATAGTGCAATAGAAGTTTACATAGCTTCGCTCACCAAAAGGTAATCTCATTCAGAATGAATTGCTGTTTCGACCTCACCTAGTCCACTCCGAGAGTGAAGTAAAGTTATGTGAAATTTAATAGAAGCATGAGGTCTATTAATGTGAGGGTATGAAAAGTCAATATACAATCCTTAAACTGACGGAAAAACGTATTCAAGCTTTACTGATCGTTTCAAAGTCTCCTTTATGTGAATAGTGTAGGACTATTGGATCGTGTAAAGAAGATCTCGGCTCACCGTTCTGTTGCCTTATTTACTGTTACGTAATTGACATCGTCTGGGCGAAAAAGTTACCAAATTATAGTGTCGGTGAATTAAATTATGAACTAAATTATGCTTTCACCCGATTCATCGGGCACAATTAGCTGACGACTGATTCCAACCGTTTAAGTTGAAAAGGGGACTGATGATTGAATATTCCCCCAATGCTATGAACAGACATGACATTTCCGTGGAATTTCACACATTCTCGCTTCCCAAAAGGTATCCTCCTCCGGCTTGGACTGCAGTTTCGACCTCGCCTAGATCGTATCACCACGTCCGCGGAGCTCGAACCATGATGCATCAACCCCTACGCCACATTGCCAATAGCTCTCTTGCGTCACAAGACAGAGGTGACCGTCCAACAGTCATAATCGCAAAGCATTCTTGCTTCGGTTTTGCATGAAGCCTATTTGCGAATCCTTTTCACCCGCCCCCACAGACAAAAGAAAAAGTACAACAGCACACACTAATTACAATTTTGCACCGAAAGATTGCTTTCATCCGTCTCGTCACGTCGTCAAATCACGAAGGTAGCGCAGTTTGTCCAAAGAGGCGAGCCTTAATTGCTCATTCCCACTTCAGGCAAGCTAATCGTCCCGTTTTCGAGGCGGGAAAAACCACTTTCTCCTTTTGAGGCTGTCGGGCGAGTTGATTGAATTAATTAGTCGAATTGACACGTTTGCTTGCCACTCGGCCGCCGTCTTCTCAGACCAATCGGCCAGTCGTCAGAATGAAGCGTCACCTGCTCACTCGCCTTCGAGACTGACGATCCTAGCGACAGACCGAAGACACCCAATGCTCGAGGCCATAAGACCGGCCTCCCTTGTCTCTTTCGGTAGGCCGGCTTGAGGCCTCCATTTCGCCGTCTCCCTTGGCCACCAGAAGGACGGCCGGATTGTGTTATGCATGGCCGGGAGGACGATGCGAACGCCAAATTCCCAGTGGAACAAGTGGGAACAAGGCCTATCGTGTCGTGCCGAGTGGTAGACGCGAATGGCCATCAAATATAATTGAATTAAGCACGAGTGTGCTCTGAGGAGTGGGATTTTATTACCTGCTATTAATGCAATTGTGAAAAACCACACACCTTATTCACACATTAGCAACAGCCAGATTTCGGAGAGATGGTAGATTTATGGGCTATCTACAGAAATTAGCATATTTCTGCGGCATAACCAAAAAGTGAATGGCGTCAAGGTGGCCGGAGAGTCCGATTGTGCGGGAAAGTTTTTGATTGTATCCACTAAGGCCAAAAAGTTCCATTTTAACAGAGACCTTTTGTTGGTAACCCTTTTCCTCGCATGAAATGTACCTTACGCTTGCATTAGGGCCCTGAACGATGTGATGAGCAGATACAGTTCACGCCAGACAAAAAGCCAACCTTTGAAAATCATCACATTCTACCGGTGGCGTCTGGTGAATGTGAGTTCAGCTCATCTGAAACCAGAATGAGGTAGTGTACAAATATCCCATGCGCTTTTATAAACCCTGGTATTTGAAGAATGCCAGCAATGACATGGCAAATGATCAAATAAAAAAGAGTTCATTTAAGTTCAGAGAGATTCACCAAAAATCTGGTAAAGTTAACAGTTCACCAAGGACATCTGTTTGGGTGAAAAAGGTCTTGAAAAAGGCACGAGAAGAGAAAGTATATTCCTTTTCTCGAAGTCCGTTCGACGCTAAACTACTCGACATACACCATATAGGATAATCAAATCGAAAGCCGATATTTAACTACCATCAGGTTTGTGCTCAGTGAGAGCCGTAAAGTAAAAACTAAAAACGTAATACGTCTGCAGAAATAACTTCAAATATATCCTTGTTACCAACCAACAATAATAATTAAGAATCTATAGTTTTAACTTATTTAGAAATGTAAAATTCAAAATTCACATTGTTATTATTAATACCGTATGATCAACACGACTAATGACCGATTATCTTCAAAAAATCTTTTTTTTCAACACTACTCACTGATTCGTTATAATCAAGCAATATTAATAAACTCAAAAAAAGATAAAATTATTATAAATTACCTAGCTAAAAGCAAAAATCCATACTCAAACTTTCAAATCTACGACTACTAAATGCCTTATTTATACCACTTTTACTAAGTAATAGATTTAAAGCAACATAACAAATAACCCAAAAGAATATAACCCCCAAAACAATGACACAAAAAGTTGAGAGTTTAGAAATATGTGAACCACTCGACGGCAGATGGATGGGCTTTTTGGAGATGAAACTTTGTTAGGGCTAAAAACATAGTTATTTTTCGTATATCAGCAGAGTTTCGAGACTATCAGCATATCAGCTATATGGGATTTATTCACCCTATTTCGTTTAAGGTGATGAAGGACTGGTAGTAGAATTATTCCACAATGATATGAGTAGGGATGACATAGGAAAAGTAAGTAATGTAATCGATTCTGATAGCCAAAATACGCTTGCTCTATTGAAAATCCCACCAAATATTGTGACCTGGCCTTCCTTGAAATTCACATCTGCCTTGTGACCTAAGGGTGCTGGTGGCAATGTGGCCGAGTGGTTAACGTGTCAAGTTCACATTCTATACTGTCACGGGTCGACTCTCGCTGGGATTGTTGATTAGAAGTATGCGAGGTTGAAACTGCAGTTCACTGGTGACCGGATGTGAACAACTTTTGGGAATGCAAGGCTCTGTAAAATTCAATGGAAACCTCAGCTATACTCATATCATTGAGGGAAAATTCTACTTCCAGTCCTTCATCACCATAAACGGAATTGGGTGAATATGTCTCAAGGTGACTTAGAGATAGATAGTTGAGCTCAAATCAATTAAATGTACTCTCATCCAGGTTGAACTAGAGTTCACCCCTCGCCTGGGTCTAATCTGTACCCCCAACGGGATTCAAACTTGGCAAGGTTATCATTCTTCTATAGGTCCTAGATTATCAGTGGGTCACGACAAGGCAGGTCCATCAAATATCACATTTAAAGTGGGATTTTTGATAAGAGAAAAATGTTTTTAAAAACTCTTTACATCCTATTTCGTTTGAGTTGTTTAAGAACTAGTAATTGTATTTTACCTCAAAAATAAGAGCTGACCGCACGCTTCAATTCAATTTCACACAGCCTTACTCCCCAAAAGGTTTTCTTATGCAGGCAAGAGTGGACCGCAGTTTTGACCTTGCCTAGGCCTCATGAGCACCCCTAGCGCGACTCAAACACAGGTTTTGGTAGGGCAGTGTAGGATCTCGACACAGTAAACACTACGCCAAACTGCCGCGAGTGCCCTTTAACCACAGGGCAGATGTGAATTTGCTATTACCAGAGACTATATTACTTATTTTTCGTTTTAAAAGTAGGTTTTTCGGGACTATCAGTAGATCTGATAGAAGAGCTATATTCACCATATTTTATTTAAGGTGATGAAGGACTGGTAGTCTCATAGTAGTGTAGTCGATTACTAAAGCAAATATAATATTGCTTCGTCGGCAATCCCAATACAAAAATGTGATATGAAAAAGGCCCAGACTTCCTTGAGATTCCCTTCTGCTCTGTGACCCAACAGCACTGGTGGTAGTTCGGCGTAGTGGTTAACATGTCGCTAGCATGCGCTACACCACCAAAAACTGGGTTCCAGTCCAACTGGGCGTACTGATGAACCCCAGGAGAGTTCGAAAATGTAGTCCACTCCTTGCTGGATGGGAATACCTTTTAGGAAGCAAGGCTATGCTGAATCCAATGAAAATGTGAGGCCTGCTCATTAAATTGTGGGAAAAATCCCCCACCCTCAGTTCTTCCTCAGCCTAGTTAGGGCATGACTACTGGTATTCTCTAAAACCTACCGTCAAATGGAAGCATGTATTTGCGGTTGCATTCGTCGGGGTTGCTTAGTTCAAATGTGACTAGGTCTTAAGTCTTCAAGAAATCTGATAATCTCGTTCCTTACACACCCCAAAAATAAGTAAACTCGTCGGTTAGAATGGCAAATACATGTTTACTTAACCGATAATCACACCATAAAAGTGCTTGGCTAGGCTTGACTTGCCTGAAATGTTACATTTGCTCTGCGTCCCTCTGGCTCCAGTACCTGTGTAGTGGATACTCACGAATCAGGCTCAAATCCCACTGGGGGTGCCGATGGGATCAGAATCAAGACAAGTTCTGTCCGGATGCGATTTCCTTTTGGGAAGCATCCTGGGACCTATTCACCTCAACGAGAAAAATTAAACTATCAGTCCTTAAATCACCTTAAGCAGTCTAGGTTGATCTAGTTCTTATTCAACAATTATTGATAGTCTCTAAAATAATTCAGGAATTCCTTTAAATCACTTTTCTTTCGAAACGAGATTTTGAGTCTCAGGATATAATACCATGAGTGTTCCTTATAGAGATACCTTTAACCGAATATTAGTAAGGGTGGTAAGCAAGCAACCTAATGATAAAGAGGCCTAGCCTCTACAGACTGGTCCATAAAGGCGATATTTGGGTGAGGCAAGAGATAGTGAACGGATAAAAATGGCATTTTTACTTAGTCTCCTTGTCCAAAAACCAGGTTTTGGTTTACATGCGACCAAGTTTCCCATACTATTGGCCTATGATTTGGCGTTACTTCAAACCTATCGTTCCGTATAGAGCCGTGCTCACAGGTACGTGTGAATTGGCAATTGCAGACTTCCTGAACTCAATTCTATTTAGAGTCCAGTTGTGTGACAAAAAAGTCGGACACATGGAAGAGGCTGGACATGGGTTGCATAATGTCAAACTTGTCGTCTTGCTGTATATTGTATGTCTGTAGGTAAAAATAAAAATAGAGAAGACATCAAAACTCAACAACTTGGGCAATACATTAAAAGGCAGGAACACGAGTGAAAAAAGTAAGAATTTGTTATGCCCAATTAATAGGCATAATGATAAAGAGAATGTTGTGACACCTGGAAAAAGAAGACAGCTAAAATAAACTTATATTGGAAATAATGCAAATCACGATTATACTTTATAAAGGTTTTATTTTACGCTTTCTCCCTCAAACATAAACAGAAAGCTCATCTGAAGGTATGAAGACCAATGGGATGGCCTTTTTGTGTGGTCGAAAACTCCTTTCGTTGTAGAGAGGTTGTTTGACCTTGTCTTCGCAACTTGGTCACATTGGTAGGAAGACTTAGAGGAACACACCTAGTCCGGAGTCCATTGTATGCGTCATCATATCCAAAGTTGAACCGTGGACGTGGTACATTCACAAACGTTTCGCCGGCATCATCAGTGACTATCGCCATTCTTAGCACCATACAACAGCTCGTCAAAGAGACAAGTGAAGCCCATCCTTTGACCAAACGTGTGCTCAACAGTTGTGGTATCTCC